CCCCAAAACCCCAAAACCCCAAAACCCCAAAACCCCTTTAACCCTTAAAATATTGAAATTATAAAGATTTTCGCAAACAATTCACAAATGGACAAGTAAGAGCTTTAAACACAGCCCGTCGAAGAAGCTTAAAGGACTGTACTAGTAGTGCAGGGGGAGAAGAGAGGCAGCTGCTGTTGAGCGGGGTTTTGGGGGCTTGTGGTTTTAGGGGAGGGTCAGGGAAGGAGAGAAGGGCGGATCTTTGAGGGATGGGGATTTAGGGGGATAGATAGGAAATGGGGGCGGAATGAGGGGTTGGTGTTTGTGGGAAGATTTTAATGAAAGTTGGTATAATTTTGTAAAAGTTATATTATTGTAAACTATTAGAATTTTGAAAGTAATAAACAAATTAAGACAACTATTTATACTTGAGCCAAATGAGATGAGCATATAAATAATAATTATTGAGATCTGTTTAGCCAACTTTCGCTTCAAAAATATCTCCTAATTTACTCCGATAATTTTCCCAATCATCTTATAAACTAAATTTTCCATCTCTCTCAAAAACATTCTTCTAGAAATGCCAAAAGCTTAACCAAGCCAAGATTCTTCAAAGTAATCACCCCAGTCATCTCCAATAGACACACAGCAGAAACAACCCCAAAAGCATCCCTCATCTTACCTTCTCCATTAACCAAACCTTTATCTCAAACAATTTCCATCCACAAACACCACAAACACCATCCAGAGCCTTCCGCCCAACAGTATCTTCAATTTCTCCAAAGAAATTCTTCTCAAGCAAAAACCGAAGATCACTAAGCAGAGAAGGAAGAAGATCCTCTCTCTTCCTTAATCTCAGTACAGCTAGGATATCTAAATATTTAGAACTCAGGGCCGCCTCTATGAGTATGAGTAGAAGGAGAGTGAGTCAGACTTCGAAGCCAATGAAGAAGAGAAAGTGGGTCTTTTTGGGAACGGGGAGTGGGGTTTTGGGGGGTGGGGATTGTTAAGGGAGATTGGATCGATTGGGAGGGTTGTTTTGAGAGATTAGGGGTGCTGGAGGGGTTAGGATGGTTAGGAGGGTTGGGGAATAGGTAAATTGGGGAATGAGGAGATGGGTAAAGTTATGTTAGTGTAGAGCAAAGAAGTATTTTTAGAAGTTTAGGTTTGGATGCTGAAAATGAATTCTTGCAGATATTCTAGTGTTTAAGGCTTCCAGTTTTGTAGTTGGTATCTTCAAGCAGTAATCAACAAATAGTTTCATAATCCCCCAAATTTTAGCTACCACAACACCCATCTTCCATATAAACACCAATTACTCCCCTAAGCCCCTCTCCAAATTCCGTACCTCCCCTTATCCCTCTTCAGCTCCTTCACAAAATCCCAAAAATAGGAGCTCGAACAAGCTCCAGCTTGTTCGGGCCAAGCCCGGCTTTTGTTCTGAAAGAAGACTTTGTGCTAGAGGAGAGGAACAAGGAGTTGGGGGTATAGGAGGCGAGAGCTGGAGCAGGGTTTAGGGACATTTGTTAGGGATTTGGGGTTGTTACTGGTGGAAGTTGGGAGTGTTTGGGGGATTTTGGTTGCTTAAAGTTGGAATTTGGGTTAGTTAGGTTTTGGTGGTGGTAGAGAGGAGTTTCTGGAAAAATGTGGGTGATTAATATACTTTTACTTCGAATGGCTTTTAGGGGTTAAAAAATTTTCTTTCTTTGCATTGATTCTTTTTATGATTTATGTTTATCAAAGAAAATAGTAACATTATTACATTTTTCGTCAGAACATTAAAATAATAAAAAGCTTCTAATATAAAAACTTAAGTTCAAATAGGAAATCTAGATCAAATGAAAGGCCTTTTCATTATCTAACTTACAACCAGAAAATGAGTACTACAAGCTCAATCCTAACTCCTAACCAAAAGAAAATCTCCAAAAAGCCATCACTCATTTCACTTTCCTTAAAAAAATTCCTCCAAAACAAAACCCCCACTCTCTACAACCCCAAGGAAGAGTCCAAAACTATCAAAACCACTACCAACCCCAAAAATCCCCACTCCAACACCCTAACCACCATCCCCCCAAATCCCCCCTCCCAACCCCCCAGAATCCCCCTCCCCTCCTTCCGCCCTCCCTCCCCAAAATCCACTTCTACAGCCCTCGCCCAAATAAAATTCCTCCAGTCCCAGAACAAATCCCTGACTGCCGAAGTCAAGTCTTACAAAGAAAGTGAGGAAAAGCTTAAGGCTGAAATCCAGGAATTAGAGCAGAAGGTGGAATGACTTCAGCTGAAATATGTAGAGGAGAGCAAAGATGAGGAGGTGGGGAGAGATGTGGGGGAAGAGGAGGAAGATCAGGAGGTGAATTATGAGGTTATTGTTGATAATGTCGATGATGCAGAGCAAGAAGGTAAGGATGGGTAGGGGGTGGGGGTAGGAGTGGGGTAGGAGTGGTGGGATTAAGGATATGGGGTGATATGGTAAGAGATAAAAGGGTTGGGTTTAGTAAAAATTATGGATTTTAATTTGGTATATGATCAATAACCTGTTATCAAATTAATAACTTTCACATATCTATTTTATAAAAATTTCTTCTTATCTCTCATATATAGAGGCGAGAGAGCCCTCATATATCGAAATGATTTCTCAATCAAATGACCCAACCATTATCGTTGAAGACACTTCAGTCTCCTGCGAAGAAGCAGTTGGGTCCAAGAATATTAAAAAGGTATTTATTCTTATAAGAACTTAGACTGTCAAACTCAACAAACAACAGAAGGCTTTGATACAACAAAGTTATAAAGACTGAAGTTCTTCAAGCAATTAGATTCCTCGAAGTTAGAGATAAATTTAATAATGAATACCCAGATTTGCAGATTAGTAAGTCATTGCGATACAATTTATTACATTTTATTAAAGGAAGACTTGTAATAACATAAATTTAGCTCAGGGTCAAGCCAGAGCAATCTTGAAAAGCATGAATAAACTCCGTCCAGAAGATGATAAATAAAATTTTGAGAAAATCAGTACCAGCTATTGCAAAATTTAGAAATGCGTAATAGTTTTTTTCCGTTTATTCAAAGATTATTAATTAAAAGAATAAGCAACCTAAAAATACATAAAAATATAAAGATCCCTCTGGTGTAGAATAACTAGCATATACTCTACACTATTATTTTCCTTGCCCGGCTTATCACCCATATAGAGCCAGAGCAGCAGGGTGGCTGCTCCGCTTGCCTGGGCAGAGCTTGGTCTTGCAGCCTTCGGAGATAGGAGATTTGTCAGTGATTGATGAAACGGAAATGTAGGTGTTTTGAGTGGATAATTGGTAGGGGGCACAGTGAGGGTGGACAAGGGGGACAGGTAAGGGGGTTGGGAAGGGAAGGTTGGATAGTGATAGGGGTGGGAATTAATCGGTTTTTTAGCAAATTGGTTCGAGAGAGCAAGCTAAAAGGATGGTAGAATTGAGTAAATGGGTGGTATATATTTTAGACAAGTGCGAGACCTTTATTGATAGTAAAGGAAATGTAAGAAATGGATTATCAAATTTAGATAACTAACAAAATAATCTGCAGAACCAATTACCAAAAGAGAAACACCACTAATGAAATCTCTCTGTATCTTCACTCTAATTCTAGCCACAGGTCTCGATCCAGCCCCTTCAATCCTGACCCTGCTCAAGCCCAGTACGCCAATCTTCAAGAGAGATTGTCAAAAGAAGCAGAGGATAAGGACTGCCACCAAAACATGTTTACTTAAGTGAAGAAATTTAAAGGACCCGAACAGTAATTTAAAAGAAGTTTCAATAAGAATGAACATATGGGGTTTTGGGGTTTTGGGGTTTTGGGGTTTTGGGG